AGCTGCTGGACTGTCTTCCAACTCTTTCCCACCTCCAGGTTCATGCCACTTCCTTCCCTGAGCTCTTGATGTGGCCTAGGGGTTTCTGGGTTGAGGTCAGGAAATGGCAGCAGAGTCAGCTAATTGCACAAAGCATAGATCTGGGCGGGAGGAGAGGTGGCTTCTGTTGCCAGTGCTGCTGTTGATTCACTGTGTGACCTTGGGTAAATCACTGCACCTCTTGTGAGGCTTCCCAGGGATACCCAGGGCTGGGAGGCAGCTCGCTACCACCTGCCCTTAGTGTGAGGACCGTAGCCTGGGCCTGCCAGGGGTCAGTTCCCTAACTCCACCAGCCACGGGCAACACAAGCCCTCCCCTTCAGGCACACAGGCCCTGTTCTGTCTCAACAGGTTAGCGATAGGCACACCCAACCCCTGAGCCCATCAAGCATCTCCCTGGAGTGTGTAGCCCCTGTCCACTAAACATTCGCAGTATTCACAGATTGGCTGCTTCCAAGGAAATGTGTCCCCAGCTTATCAGTTCCGCCTCAGATCCCCACTCTGCTTAACAGCCAGTACTGGGATGTGATTATAGTGAAATCAGGACACATTTATTTGACAAAGATCAGAGATTCACGTGATAGCAAGTAGTAGTGTTGGAAACAAATTGGTATGTATAAAATAAAATCATAACAGGCATTCTAGACCTTGAGTAAATACTTTCATGTCTTACAGAGCACTGTTCACCCAAGTCCCTGCAGTGTTTTACAGCCAGGCGTGGCTCTGAGCCTCTGTGCATGAGAGAAGTCACATGTCAGCTTGCTTCCTCAAGGAAAGATTTATGGTGTCTGTCTGCACCCCGAGCTATATCAGAACAATCCACTGTCCTTATTCATAAACAGGACGCCCCCTGCTGCTTGTTTTTTCCTGTATATTCCTTTTTGTGTAGACTTCACCATCTCTTCACTCAGCCTCTGGCTCAGGATGCAAATAGGCCTATGCAGTGAGGCACACAGTGACCAGACAGGGATGTAAGCATCTGTTACCCCCTGTCTGAAAGGAAGCTGTCTGAGGCATGTCACTGCCTGGTGCCCCTGTCTCAACTCTTAGGCTTTGAGAACATCATTTCTAGTATTGATACGCAACTCCTTAAATATTGCCCATATGTACATTGCACAGTAATCATGATGACCAGTGGGCTACTGGCTCTCGGTAGAGACTTCGCATGCCTCCCTTTGGTGAATTATTAGCTTCTGTTCCTGGCTCTGCCACTGGCCTGCTGGGTGACCTTGAGCAAAGCAAGTCTCTTCACTGCTCCATGCCTCAGTTTCTGGATAATGATACTGACCTGCTTGGTAAAGTGCTTTGAGATGTACTGATGAAAAGTGTCATGTCCTCATTTGTAAGGAAGAAGGGACTAACATGGGGAACATGTGAAAAACAAATTATTTTATATTTTACTTCAGCACAGAAAAAGGAGAGTCCAGGAGTGTTTAAGGGAGCTTATAATGTTGCAATAAGGACCTAGCTTCTTCCTTCCTTCTAATAGAAAATAATCTGCTTAAACATATCTGATTTAAATGAATAAAGAGGAAGAGTTCCAGAATGTCTGTGGGATTTATGATGAATCTCATTGACTTTCAATGGGTCTTATGCACCTAAATCTCTGAGGAACTTTGGAAAATTTCTCCTGTAACGCCACAGACTCTTGGACCTAGCCGTTTTGGTCCATCTGTTAGAAGGTGTGGTGGGACACTTGTACTATTGCCTGATAGTTACTGAGAGCCTCAGAAAGCATGGGCTTTGGGGGGGTAGTTTGGGTGAGTGCCACAATATCCTGTGAAAAATCTCACTGTATTGGAAAAAGCCTGTGGCAGGATTAGGTGTGTTGGAGGGACAAGTAAATAAAAAGCAAACAGACCGCTCCCCTTTGGCTCGCAGCACTGTTTATTTCGGTGCAACCCTGGCTTCAGCTGTTGTGATTGGAGCCTTGTCTGTTTATACAGTTGCTGGCATCCTGTGTTTATTGATTATATTTTGATGGCAATGCAGACAGGCGTAATAGCAGATTGAGAAAAGGGCTTAGTTTGGATACATGGGGTGAGGTTTTCATGTGCTCTGCCCCCATAAGCGAGGCCCGAGCTTCAAAAGGACTCGGCACCCATTTAGGTACCTATATAAGGGGATTTTGAAAAGAGCACCCAGCAAATCTGGGCCCAATGGCATGTGCTGGGTCTGTCTGGGAATCCTGGCCTTGATCTCCTGGGAGTGGTCTGTAACAAAGGCCGCTTGTGATAGTTACCTATTCTCCTGACCGGCACATGCTGTGCTTAGCTCATGGACATTGTGTGTTCCAAATCTCCTGAGTTCCTCCACTAAGTCTGGGGAAACATGTGCTAAATGCTGGCCTGGAAGCCCTGGGGACTCCCCTGTAAAACTGGGGAAGAGTCTGAGTGTTGCCTCTCTGGGCCAATATGCCGTAACGCCCCATTTTCAGGGTGAAGCGTGATGGATCTATGATGCAAAGAGTAGAGGCATACGTAACAATGGAGTTCTCTGCGGAAATACCACAGTCGGTACCGTCTCTGAGGCTACACGGTAATGGGGTTTAATAACTGCAATGAGCACCTCTGCTAGTAGGGAATCTCCTTTCTCATTCTGCGAGCCCTGCAGCTCCCTTCGGAAACCTTGCCCCTGCGATCTACTTGCTCAGACCCACCCCCACTGACTTTAATGAGCCCAAATTTTTGCAAGAAATTCTCACAAGCTTTTAGCTGAAAATGTTGGAAATCTCAGCTTTTGTTGCACTCTTGTTTTAGGGCCAGATTTTCAAAAGCTCAGTGCCCGTTCTCACTGGTCTCCTGCTAGCACTGAGCCTTTTTGAAAACCTGGCTGCTTCATGGAGGGGCCTAACCGGGAACTGAACTCCTTAGGCTTGGCTTTGGTCTATAGAGAGCAGCCAGGGAGAGACCTACCCCCTCTCTGCCTCAGATGTTCCATGGCTGTGTGGCTTGTTCCATTTGCATGTAAGGGGAGCAAGAATTCCTTCTCCATGTGCCTTTGCAATGGTGACACTTGCTTTGTTGGTGTGGATGGTGCCATTGCTCCTGGAGTGTTCCTGGCTCATTGTCCTTGACATGTATCCATGTGTGTGTGGCAGTCAGCCCAAATAGATTGTCACATGCCTTCCCAGAAGCAATGCACCATCTCAGTTTTGCCCAGAGATGGAGTAGGACACGGCTCGCACAGGACATGCCACGTGCTTTGTTCAGCTCTGCATCTGACTTGTTTGTACTAGTTATTCAGTCACCACTCCAGGCCATTGGGAAAGGAGCCGTGTTTGCTCTGTGGTGTGTAGCACTATGCTTGCCCCATGTTTCTGATTAGTGCGGTAAGCAGAGTAGTGAGTGCCTATCCAGGGTCAGCAAACAAGTACCCTGCTGCTGCTCTCTCCTCCCATCCCCTTGGAGAAATCTGGCCTGCGACATCTCACACTGGACTCGGGCCCTTGCCTGAGCTAGAGCTCTAGGCCACTGGATCAGTGTATGTTTATACAAGTCACAGAATATGGTGAATTCTTTCAGCAGTCTTCCTAAATCTTACATTCTTAGGATGGGGCTATTACATGCTTTTGTCACTCAGTCACCAACCATAAATCCCACCCATCAAGATCCAAACTCTACAGCTTTTATATAAATTCAGTGTTTGACAATTAAAAACCACCATTCCACCTGTGACAGACTGAGGCTCTCCTGGGCAAACCTCGTGGAATTTTCATAAACTTTCCTGAATTAGGTTTAATCCCTTTGGGGTCCATTGCATTAAACATGCCATTGTGTAGGTGTTGTTGTATGTAATTCTTCTAGAAGGAGGGGGAAGCTAATGTCATTCCTCCAGTGATCAGCCCTTTGAAGCCACCCCTGGAGAGGTGGGCATGGATTAGTTCACACTGGATTCTCCAGGGACCAGCAGACAAAAAGGGTTTGGGGATAAATAACTCAGGGCCTTCTTCCTGATCCAGCAAATGGACAGGACACCTGGTCCATGAAGTAGCCCAATCCTAAGGTGGGGCTGGAAGGACTGGGCCTACTGAGGCCTAATAAAGACCATGCTAGTTCTGAGCTGAAGCTGTGGTGAACTTGAAACCACAAGGAGACCTCTTGGATGGGGTTTTTAAGGCCTGTTCCTGCCAGAGGCCTGTTAGATCTGTGGTAAGCTCTGGTAAGCTTATTAGCATGCATGTAGGTTCTTTTGTTGTTAATGTTTTCTCTGTAGTGCTTTTACCTTATGAATAAGGTAGGCTTGCATAGGAAGTGCCGTGTGGTACCTTATAATGGTGGGCAATTGCACTTTTGGTCTCTGAATACAAAAGAAGCAGGCCTGCTTAGGCAGTCTCTCTTCCTTGGGATTTCACAGTATAGTCAGGGGACATGAAGCCTGGAAATACCCAGGGCAGAAGGGATTGAGATGCGGGTCTCCGTTCAAGAGCCCAATGACCCTGAAGCCCAGAGTGGGTGCCCTTGCTAGACCACAGAGCGAGATTACAGGGGCAGTGCTCTTGAAGCATGAAACCATCATGATGGAAACGTTTGTGGCTTCCGCTGAAGGGGAGTTTCCCTAGAGCGCCCTGTTTGAACCAGACAGCAGGGCAGGAGTTGCTGAATACATGGCAGTATCGAGGGGACACCTTAATATGCATCCACCCATGACGCTTGCGACAGGAGCCCTCACTGGACCAGGCTGTGGTGATTCAAGAGAGAGGTGGGTGTGTGCTGGGATTGCCAGACCAACAGAAATCATGGAAGGGGTTGTTTGCTGTACACAGAGCTTTTATTTGAGCTACTACTATGTGATTGTCCAAATCTATCCAAGAACTCAAGTGGACAAAACCAACCAGGATCTGAACAAATACAAAGTGTAAGTTCTAGCTGCCCACATTAAGAAATCTTTAGCACTTGTACCCTTTCCAGTCATGTCTGACGCAGATGAGTAATGTTCAAAAAATTCACAAGGCAAACAAACTAGGGGCTATTTATCTTTTTATTATAAATTTAGTATGAATGACCAATGGAAAAAGTCATAACAGAGTACCAAGAATGTTTGTCTATCAAAATTTTAGCAGCATTTAAACAGTACTAGGTTCCCATCTCCATCCAAACACTGTCTTCCACCCCCAGAACAGTAACCTCAGCCTGAATGGCATCAAGCCTTCTAGGCTGAGATTTAAGCCACGCTTGTTCCATGTAATCCTCTGCACTGCTGTGACAATCTCAACCTTAACATGGGTATCCACAGACTCTGTTAGTCTCGGGCCGGACTCTCATCCCCGCACAGGTCATGTCGACACCACAATCTGCAGTGTGATTGCAGACTGGCTAAAAATAGCAGGGTAGGCGAGGAATGCAAGTTTGTACCCAGCCTGCACCGAGGCCTATGCCACCATATCTGTCCTGCTACTTTCAGCCATGCTGGTTCAGGCATGTCTGTCCGTGCTGCAGTCCCACCTCAGACTGCCGTGCAGGCCTGCCCTTAGTCACAATGAGCAGCATCTTATTCCACTGAAGAACAAAGGGCTACGTGTGGAGGAGGGTGCTACCCAACATGCAAACCTGGCCCTAGAGTGTTTGTTAGTAACCATAACACAGGCTGACCCGATAGCCTCAATTACACAACTGTACTCCTGAAAGCAATTCATTCATGGGGCAGGGCCCATTATTATTCATTACTTTCTAATCCCCAAGTGCCAGGCACACTTATTACCTACCTACCTTCCTCAATTTCTATGTGTGACTTTAGAGTACTGGCCATGTAATCACCCACCCATTTCTCTGATATTCTGCGGTGGAGAACTACTGGGGAAGGAGAAGATATTTAAGGCTTGATCTTGCTCCTGTTCAGGTTGATGGCAGGACTGAGTTCAGATTTGATAGGGGTGAGGGAAGATGGAAGATGAATATTTAGTGTATTTCAGATTCAAAACATAATTAAGTTAGTTGACTAATCACATGAACAGTAGTGTTAAGCATACAGAATAACGAGAACAAGCATAACTGTAAAATACTTTTTTGCTAGTTACAATCAAACATGAACAGTACTATCCCAGCTTTGCTGGTGATAGCTTAGTGAAAACAATCTTTAATTAGAAGTGAGAACAAACAGGTACACACACAAGTTGACAACAACATAACTCTAGCAAGCTATTTCCCTGCTTCTTTGGTACTTTCTAAACTTTCTTATCCAAAATATATAAGGGAAATGCACCATTAAAAAGTTACTGTTTGTAAGTATTTACAAAAGCAGTTGCCATATAGTATTGTACACAAAGATCAATCTGATATGAACAAAGTTATCTTACGAAAAGCACTTATGCACATGTTTTGTTCCAGTATCTTTTAACTTTAAAAAAATTCATGTTATGCAATCCTGTACCTCGCTTTATCTTATATCAAATAGACAAGAAACATTTCCCAATCCATACTCTTCTTTAAAAGATTAAAAAAATCACCACTGAAATGTTACATTATGTACAAACTTTACTAAATATTAAATTCTAGGCAATATTTTCACCCCACTTATATTATAACTTAGGTACTATTTCCTACTATATGCATATATTTCTTTAATATATAAGAACGGCACCACATTATATCACCATGTCACCAATATGACACATTGTTATATACAGTAGATAAGAAGTTAGATATGGAAGATGAATCCTTGCCGACTAGCATTTCCGTTGGACAGGTTAGCAAAGGTTTTTCTCCTCCCTCTCCTCCCCCCATGGGTGTTTCGTGCAGGAAGTGGCAATTCAGACATAGGGCAGAATCCCATACATCAAGATCGCCATGACTCCAGCACTGAACAAGCCAGCGACAGGAACTGTCACAAACCAGGCCAGAAAGATGTTGCGGAACAGACGCCAGTCAACAGCCTTCTTTGAACGTATCCAGCCGACTGCCACCACTGAACCAACCTTAGGAGTTTGAGAAGAGGGTTAAGGAGATACAAGGTTAACATCAAAAAGCCTCTAAGAGACTCCTATGATCAACCCAATGCCAATCAGCTGATACCCAGCAATGTAAGTAGCCAAGATCTTAAAATAATGCAGACTTCAGTGAAGACTAATGCTTTGTTAAAGGAAGGCTGGAATTTAACACTTGCAGGTTGCTGGGGTTAAAAAAAAATGAAGGAAAAACTCACCCAGCAGCTGACTCTTAAATGTCTTTCATAGTATATGCATCAACTTAAAGCCAGCTTAATTAGATTCCGGTATCTCAGTCAAATGGCAATTAACTCTACTCGTATAAATGCAATTCTATGTGCCTCTGCCTTTTTAGGCCCCAATCCTGCAATGACCTCTATTTAGGCAGAGCACTGCACCCACCTAGAGCCTGTTGACTTCCATAGGCCCTGCATGGGCAAAGGGATCTTACTGTGTGGGGCTCGTTGCAGAACTGAGGCCTTAGACCGAGAGCTCTTTGGTGCAAGGACTGAGTTGTCCTTGGTGTTTGCCAAACATCTTACACATTTTGGGTGCTACTGAAATCTAAAAAATAAAAACCTATGCAGTCTGCCAAGTATGTTTTCTAGTGTAAAACCTGGGCTTCTGTGCCAACCACTAATCACAGCAACTCTCCTTGTATCAAATGTTCATAGCCCTTCCTACAAATGACTAGACCAGCCTCATGATGTGGAGAATTCAATCAGTGTGGACGTCAAGGCAAGAGGGTGTTAACAGAGAAATACCCTTTGAGGAATAGTTAACAGAAGGGTTTGGCAGATCAACTTCTATGTACGTACTACTGTACGGGAGATAGTTTTTTAAGTATTGTAGCAATGGTGGCTTACTTCAGCGAAGTATAACACCACCTATGGGCAGCAACGGACTAGAGGAATGTTTTATTCATCTCAGGAAATATTGCCCAGAGGATTACGGCAGGATTACAAATTAGTAACTGGGACATAGAGTTCCTCTGGCCCGAGAAGTAATGCAATTAATGATGTGGCCACTTGAGGACATAAAACATTTATTAGTAGCGGCACGACTCTTATTAGCTGGGAACTGGAAACAGAAAAGGCTTCTCTGTTAGGAAGTGACTTGTGGGGATCTAGCAGTAACTGGTACATTACTGCATCAGAATAAGACTCAGCAAGGGAGACGGTTAAAATCTAACTTCCTTTCACTACATTTTCAGATCAGGAAATTCACCAGCTACAAGTCTACTTTTTTGAGTATGAAATAAATCGTTTGAGATTGAAGTTTCTTGGGGGTGGGAGGAACCTAACCATTTTAAAACAGTTTGTGGAAACAAGTATGCCCGGGAAGTTTTTCTAAATTGTATTTTCTTTCAACTCCTGAAGCAGCATCTTGGGCCTCCTCAGCTGGTATAAAATCTGTGTAACTCCATAGAAGCCAATGTTAAAATAGCAAGAAATCCTTCCAACATGGAAGAAACAAAAATTCCACAGACTGAATTTAATGGTGTTCTTCAACAATTAAAGGGAAAAGTGAGGCTAGCAGGGGAAGAATTGCTGACAGATCTATCAAACGGGGGCATAATTGCCTGAGGAAAGCGCTGAAAGCCCCATTTGTTAGGGCATTTAAAACTAGACACTATAATATGGACAAACATGCTGTGTCAGAGAGCAGAGCTAGAAGAACTTGCAGCTCTTCTGTCTCTGGCTGCTTGGAGTCTATGGTCATGAAAACTGCTGGTCAGCTATGTCCAGCACCATGGTATAGGATTAACTGTCTTGCCATATGGGTGAAAGCCTAAAGAATGGATATGAGCTAGGCTAACAGAAGAGCTTGTGGGCATGCTACCATGTTGTGGCTGAGCATCCTTCCTAAAGGAAGGCCCCAATCCCAGTCGCACTGTTATCAACAGGAATCTTTCCACTGAGCGCAAAGCGGAGCTGGATTTGGTCCTAAATGGCATCTTTGCCTGGACTAGACTGAACCACATTAATTTTTTAAAATAAAAACTTCCTTGCATTTAAAGAGGTTTAGTGACATTGGGCAGAGCAAGGTGTTTTAGGAGAGGGTGAAGAGAGACACTTTCCCTGTGGGAATAAATTAAGAGAAGATTTCACCTAATAAGGTCATGAGGGTATAAAAATCTGTTCAAAGAGAAATTTATTAGCTATGTAACATTTAATCTGAATAAACCCATCAGTCACTGATACACTAGTCTGGGGCTGGCAAGTATTGTAGATGGCCCCAGATGGTTTGCAGTTGTCTAGAGGTGGAGCGGCAACCAGCCTAAATAAAGAAAAACACAACAACAGCAGATTTCTGAATAGCCCCTTGGTCCAAAGAAAACTGTGTCTAGAAAGGATTGTGATGATACATTTAGGGCTTCTTTTTGGGGGGGTTATTTATAGCAATTTTTGAGTTTTATGTAGATGTTTGCTTGCATGGGAAGGACAGGCAAGGAAAAAAGAGAGGAGTTGTTGCCTTGTAAATCAGAGATGTGTACACGTGCACTGAGGATGAGATGGATCTAGGAGACAGACTTGTTGAAAGTCTCTGGATAAGGATAAAAGGGGTAAAAAACAAGGCTGATGTCATGGTAAGGGTCCACTACAGATCAGCTAACCAGGAACAAAAGGTGCATAAGACTTTTTTTAAACAACTAACAAAATCATCCAACACACAGGACTTGGAGGTGATGAGGGACTTCAACTACCCAGACATCAGTTAGGAAAATAACGCAGCAGAGCACAGATTATCCAACAAGTTCTTGGAATGTATTGGAGACATTTTTTTATTTCAGAAGGTGAAGAAAGCAACTAGGGGAGAGGCTGTTCTAGATGTGATTTTGGCAAATAGGGAGGAACTGGTTGAGAATTTGAAAGTGGATGGCAGTTTGGCTGCAAGTGATCGTGAAATGATAGAATTCATGATTCTAAGGAATGATAGGAGAGAAAACAGCACAATAAAGATAATGGATTTCAAGAAGGCAGACTTTAGCAAACTCAGGGAATTGGTAGGTAAGATCCCATGGGAAGCAAGTCTAAGGGGAAAAACAGTTCAAGAGAATTGGCAGTTTTTCAAAGAGACATTATTAAGGGCACAACAGCAAACTATTCCACTGTGTAGGAAAGATAGGAAATATGGTTAGAGACCACCCTGGCTTAACCAGGAGATCTTCAATGATCTGAAACTCAAAAAAGAACCCTAAAAAAGTGGAAACTAGGTCAAATTACAAAGGATGAATATAAAAAATCTCCAGCACAATCATGTAGGGACAAAATGAAATTAAACTAGCTAGAGACATAAAGGGTAACAAGAAAACATTCAACATATACAAGCAAGAGGAAGACCAAGGACAGGGTAGGCCCATTACTCAGTGATGGGGGAAAGACAATAACGAAAATGTGGAAATGGCAGAAGTGCTAAATGACTATTTTATTTGTTTTCACCAAAACGTTTAGTAGTGATTGGACATTTAAGATAGTGAATACCAGTGATAATGAGGTAGGATCTGAGGTTAGAGAGAAAAAACAAGTTAAAAATTACTTAGACAAGTTAGATGTCTTCAGGTCAGCAGGCCAGATGAAATACATCCTAGGATACTCAAGGAGCTGACTGAGGAGATATCTGAGCCTTTAGCGATTATCTTTGAAAACTCATGGAAGGCGGGAGAGATTCCAGAGGACTGGAAGAAGGCAAATAATGCCAAGCTATAAAAAGGGGAATAAGGATAACCCGGGAGATTATAAACCAGTCATCTTAACTTCAGTACCCAGAAATATAATGGAGCAAATAACCACGCACATCAATTTGCAAACACCTAGAAAGTAACAAGGTGATAAGTAAAAGTCAGCATGGATTTGTCAAGAACAAATCACGTCAAACCAACCTGATAGCTTTCTTTGGCAGGGTAACAAGCCTTGTGGATGGGGGGAAGGAGTAGATGTGGTGTATCTTGACATTAGTAAGGCTTTTGATATTGTCTCTCATGACTGTCTCATAAACAAACCAGGGAAATACAACCTAGATGGAGCTACTACAAGGTGGGTGCATAACTGGTTGGGAATCCATTCCCAGAGAGTAGTTATCAGTGATTCATAGTCAAGCTGGAAGAGCATATCAAATGGGGTCCTACAGGGATCAGTCCTGGGTCTGGGTCTGTTCAATATCTTTGTAAATAATGGCATAGCGAGTACACTTATAAAGTTTGGGACGATACTAAATTGGGAGAGGATAGCAAGTGTTTTGAAGGACAGCATTAAAATTCAAAATGATCTGGACAAACTGCGGAAATGGTCTGAAGTTAACAGGATGAAATTCAATAAAGACAAATGTAAAGTATTCCACTTAGGTAGGAACAATCAATTGCACCCATACAAAATGGGAATGACTGCCTAGGAAGGAGTACTGTGGAAAGGGATTTGTGGGTTATAATGGACTACAAGCTAACTATGAGTCAAGAGTATATCACTGTTGCAAAAAAAGCGAACATCATTCTGGGATGTATTAGCAGGAGTGTTGTAAGCAAGACACAGGAAGTAAATTTTCTGCTCTATTCTGCACTGATAAGGCCTTAGCTGGAGTATTGTGTCCTGTTCTGGGAGCCACATTTCAGGAAAGATTTGGACAAACTGGAGGAAGTCCAGAGGAGAACAACAAAAATGATTTAAAGGTCTAGAAAACATGACCTATGAGGGACGATTGAAAAAACTGGTTTGTTTAGTACTGAGAAGAGAAGACCGAGAGGGGACATGATGACACTTAAGTACATAAAAGGTTGTTACAAGGAGGAGGGAGAAAAATTGTTCTCTTTAACCTCTGAGGATAGGACAAGAAGCAACGGGCTGAAATTGCAGCAAGGGAGGTTTAGGTTGGACATGAGGAAAAACTTCCTAACTGTCAGGATAGTTAAGCACTGGAATAAATTGCCTAGGGAGACTGTGGAATCTCCGTCATTGGAGGTTTTTAAGACCAGGTTAGACAAACATCTGCCAGGAATGGTCTAGTTATTACTTAGTCCTGCCTTGAGTGCACAGGACTGGACTAGTTGATCTACTGAATTCCCTTCCAGTCCTACACTTCTGGGTCTTTCAAGGTTCAAAAATCAGGATCTTTCAAGGCGCTTTGTAAATATTGTAATGAGCAGTATTTGTAAAGTTCCCTAGTACACTTTAATGCAGAACTCTCTCAAACAGCACTATGTTAAAGCACTCCAGTGAACCTTTAGTATGCACCAGCAGGGTCTACATGGACCAATTAATATGCAACATATTAGTGCACTTTAGAAATCACACCACCACAGTCCACGTTACTGCTCTGTGTAAACAAGCCCTTAGATACAAGTAAACATGTCTGGTGTTTATTGGATAAAAAACAGGTGTTTTGTCTGGTTTTGATATTGGGGTGTTTTATCAGTTAAAACTTACAATCAGAACTCCTATGTATATTATACATTTCACACAATTTTTGTATCCGCTTGTATTTCCAATCTATTGTGTAAGACTGACATTTGATACAGTAACCTGGTTTAGTGTGTAAGCAAGATGGAACTTTGAGTTTTTTCTTGGAATTTAAAAAGATATCAGCAATGATGGCATTGGTAAAACCAGCTCTAAACATTATGAAAGTTTAGTTTATTAATAATGATTTGATGGATTAAAGATTAGGAAAGCAGTTAAAACTTCAAAAGAGAAAAACTAAAATGATTTGTGGACATTCGATGACAGCTACCTTCAGATTGGTTTCAAACCCGTGCAGTTTGCCTTCATATGCTCTGCTTAACTACAGATGTATAGAACAAGTAGTTCTGCATTCAACAGTGGTGCCTGCTAAAATACACACTTCTGTACAGAGGATGTTTATAACACCCATTTGCCATTGCTATTTCAGTGCTGGACAAGCTAATCAAATCTGCCTGTCACGTTCAGTATAAGCTATTCAGAAGCCCCTGTGTGTTAAATCGTAGGCTTCATGGATTAGAATAAATACAGGCTAACTGCTAAAAGCCTAGTTCGAGTAACTTTCTGGCATGTGAACCAATGGCCAAAACCAAAAGTTCCAGGGTCTGCTGCTACAGTTGGCTCCTTGTAGATGGAACCGGCTTGGCTCACAAATGTTATACCTTGGAACAGCTGAAAGGTACCGAACGTTTAGGGGTTAGTGACTAAAGCCACAGGGACTCTGTGCCTTCCTGGATCTCTCCACAGGGACAGGGGTCTGGCCGTTGCAAAACTACGGATTTTTTCCTTTTAAATTTCGGAGCTTCTCACGGAATAGGAATGTTGCATTCCTACTCGCCATAGTTAGCAATTTAAGCTTTTGTCTGAACACTACATGTTGCACGTACACTGTATCCTCATGCTTTATCGAGGGTGCTCAACATAAGACCACTACACGTATGTTAACTTGACTACCTAAGTCTACAATAAGGTGTAAATGTAACATTGTGAACAGTAAACTACACTGGTCAGATTCACACTGCCCAAATTAACATTATGATAAGAACCTTAAACTTTCCACCCTTTTGTGCAATTGCTCAGTTCCTTTGAATGTAATCTTTTTTTTGTTGTTTGTGGTCATCAAAATCTATTTGGTGCATAACATAATGAAGGCAAAATGCAATGATCAGCATTTCTCATAATTTGACTGTTCTAGATTGATATTATACTGCAAACTCCAATACCTTGCAATGAGTGGAGCTTATTGGAATACCCACATTTGAGGCTACAAGTACCGTTAGCGCACACATTACTTCAATGCAAAATCCACTGTGAAGAAATAAAAAAAGATAGATGGAAATGTTGTAGTATAAGAGTTACATGAAGGAAATCCCATGCCATGCACTTATCAAGACAGTGAAGTATGAACGATGGAAGGTGTCATAGCTTCTGAACACGCAGGAATGCTACAGATCTAGGCTCAAATGGCATGATCAAAGGAAAGCACATCAGCTACTTCTACTCCCAACATACCATGAAACTGTTTAATTTTGCTTGTGATCATTCTCTCTTTAGAGCTGTGGATGATATATTTGTGAAGGGTCACTTTGGGCAGAGCCTACCGAGTTCAAACCCTGTATGCTCCTATGCCCCAGTTACAACTGATTCTCAATCTGAAAATCAAAAATGTATTTTTTACAGTAAACTTTTCCAGTTCTACATTGATGAAAATATCTTTTTGTTTTTGTTTTTGAAAGAACAGAACTTGGCCATGCCTCAAAATAAATTTGATTTTGCCTTGCAGAAGAGAACTATTTCAGCTTTTTCCTGCATTGAATCATGCCATTGTACAGCGACCTGAGCAGCAAACTTAAAGATGTACAGTCCAGACTGCCATGACTGCAGTCACATGGCAAAAGCATACCTTGCAGTGTGTAGTACTGACAGGAAGTCCAACATTGGAAGCTACCACAACTGTGAACGCCGAAGCCAACTCAATAGTGAATCCACTGCAGGAAGCATAAGAAAACACTTCACAGTCACTCTTTGTATCAGTTTGGACTGACACCATGCAGTGTGCCAATGTCTTACCAGTATCTTCTTCAATTGTTTACTTCCAACTTAATTGGTCATAGAATTACATTGGGAGAACAATGGACTACTGAATAATGGAAACAATACACACTAGTTATCTGCATTAAACTGATTGCACAGCTCACTGCTTCAGGCCGTTTTACTACTCTACAGTCCAGTGAATCATGCTTAATTAGTCATTAGGTTAGCGGCAGCAGAGGTCTAGTATGCATTAAAGCAAAAATAAGAGTCAGATTAATATTTTTTAATGTTATGAAGCACATGAGGAAAAGCTAATTTTGTCATTTCCAAATTTCATAGTTTCCCATGTTAATTAGGACAGCAGTGGAATACTTTTGTCAACTAGACCTCTACAATTCAAATTCACACCACATTAAGTTACAGGGATTTTTTTAACAAGGTAAAGGGTCAAATAAGTTACCATTAGAATCAAATCAAAAGCAAACCCAGCAGTCCACACAATTAAAAATAAAACTAGAGCAGCAATTTCTCAAACTAGATCCTATTAGAAATTCAGGCAATCAAATTAGTAATCTTGTACATACCTCGAAGGTGTGATTGGCGTGAGGTCTTTACCCATAGTCTGGATAACTCTTCTACCCCAGACCCAGAGACCTACACAGATCCCAACACCTCCATAAAACAGCAGCCAGACAGGAGTCACAGCTTCTTGCATTACACCTCCTTGTTCATATATAAGCCAGAGAGCTACCAGAGGACCAATTGCATTGCTGAGAAAATAAAATCATTACATCGGAGTTATAAAAACAGAGGCAAGTGCTTTTCAACAAGTCACATTTGTTGTACTCATTTTTCTCCAAAACTGTGTGGCATTATTCTAATCCTACCGCACGAAATAGATTAAAACTTCGTACAATGTCATTTGTAAGGACGACTGCCGTGTGTGACAAATGTGATCAAAGCCAAATTCTGGAGCCCCTTGTTGCCTACATTTCACTGTTGATCACTATGGCAGAAATTGACAGAAGTTTCTATTACGCAAATAATTTTCCAGAAATGCTAGATAGTTGGTAACCTTATAGATGTCGCTCCTGGAGCAACTGTTCTTTCTGCTGCAGTGCAGGTATCAAAAGGTGCTCTATCTGGCTGGACAAGTGTCTCCACAATTTTGTTAAAACAGAATTTTAAATTAAATCCATTTCACCAAAGGTGGGGGAGAGAACAGACACAGATTCATAGGCCAGAGGGAATCATTCGATCTTCTAGCCTGATTTTCTACATACCATAGGCCATAGAACAGAGGTGGGCAACTACTGCCTGTGGGCCGGATCCGGCCCCTCCGGGCTTTGGATCCGGCCCACGGGATCGCCCCCCATGGTGCCGAAGGCCCCGTGCCACTCTCAGAAGCAGCCGGCACCATGTTCCTGGGGCCCGGGGGGGAGGGGGCAAGAGGGCTCCATGCGTTGCCCTTGCCTCCAGGCACCACCCCCTGCAGCTTCCATTGGCCGAGAACGGGGAACTGCGGCCAATGGGAGCTTCGGGGGAGGTACCTGGAGGCATGGCAAGGGCAGCGCCTGGAGCCCTGTGCCCCCCGCTCCCCCAGGGGCCGTGCAGGGACGTGGTTCTGGCCACTTCCAGGAGTGTTGCGGGGCCAGGGCAGGCATGCAGGGAGCCTGCCCTGGTCCCGGTGTGCACTGCTGCCACCCCAGAGCCACTTTAGGTAAGTGGCACCGGGCCGGAGCCTGAACCCCGTCCCCCAACTCCCTGCCTGCACCTCGCACCCCTCTTGCATCCCAAGCCCCCTCAAGGATTGAACTCACAACCCTGGGTTTAGTAGGCCAATGCTCAAACCACTGAACTATCCCTCCCGCCCAGTGTTGTTCATGTCCATTCCAATATCCACCCTCCTTCTCCTTTGTCGGAGTAGCCGGCAACAAGTAACTGAGGGGGTGGCAGGTCGACCGGGCTCTATACTGAGCGCCATGAAGGTGCGACTCCAGGGGGCGCCCAGGGCGGCCCGACGGATGCTGCTATGGGAAAAATCTTCCAGCTGTCATTCAGGTGTGCACACCTGATTGGAATGGACATGAACACCACATCTCGAAGAACAGCAGTTATGAGAAGGTAACCGTTTTGGTTTTTTTTTAAATTAAATCCAATCTTTGAATGCTCAGGGACGGGCAACACTGGGGCATGGCTGGTGTGCCTCTGTACCACATTAAACTCTGGCTGCAACATCAACCTTTTGTGGCCATTTACAGCTATTACAAGGTAAAGCAGCTGTCAGGCTGCTCTGACATGACACCGTGGACCCAGCTCTGCCCAGAAGCTGTGCCAAGGTCAGAGAAGGGCACCAGGGAGCTTGTAAGCCAGCTCTGTACACACCTCTGACTTGCACTCTGAAAGTATCAGCAACACCAGTATGTGCAACATCTTCTCCTTATGCCTTAATGCTGATGAGAAGTGTTGCCCTGCAGCTAATCAAGGCAGAATGACATAAAAGGGGAGAGACCTAACTCTAAATTAAATGCTGCATCTAAACTCTCAACTCAATGCTGTTCCTCTGTGGTCTTTAGGGATTCCTTTCAGTGACTTAAGAGTCAGAATTATGGAAGAATATGGTGACATTCAGGGAAAAATCTGCAGTTTCTAGCAACACATCAGAGTTCCTTGATCAGAGTTTACATCTGCTATGCTGGCTGGCTCAAATTTAACATCCGCGTTATTCTGTTGATGTTTCATATTTTCTCATTAGGAAAAAAAAAAGTAGGAATGTGTGAAGCCAGCCTAAAGGAACAGACATTAAATAATTTTAAATATTTCCTCACCAAATACATGTAGAGGGAACATATTTAACATTTTTATGGCTTAAGTTGATCAGAGTGAGTGTGTCATGATTCTGAGGAGAGGAAAGGAAAGACAGAGCAGCACAATAAGGACAGTGGACTTCAAAAGAGCAGACTTTAACAAACAGGGAAGTGGTAGGTAGGATCCAATGGGAAGAAAATCTAAGGGGGAAAAGGAGTTCAGGAGAGCTGGCAGCGTCTCAAGGCACAATAGCAAATTATCCCAGCGTGAACGAAAGATAGGAAAAATAGGAAGAGGGCAATATGGCTCCATCAGGAGCTCTTTAGTGACCAGAAAATCACAAAGGGATCCTTCAGAAAGTGGAAGCAAGGACAAATTGCTAAGGAGGAGTATCAAAGAATAGCACAAGCATGTAGGAAGAAAATCCGAAGGGCTAAGGCAAAAAATGAGTTCCATAAAAGGCAATAAGAAGAGGTTCTATGAGTACATTAGGAGAAAGAAAAAGACAAAGGAATGTGAGGTTCTCTACTCAGCGGGGAAGGAAAGCCAATCACTGTTGACATCAAGAAGTCTGTGGTGTTTAATGCCTATTTTGCTTCAGTCTTCACTAAAAAGTGAAATGGTGATGAGATACTCAATACAATTAACATTAACAACAAGGGGGAAGGAACGCAAGCCAAAATATGGAAAGAATAGGTTCAAGAATATTTAGATAAGTTGGATGTACTCAAATCAGGAGGGCCTGATGAAATTCATCCAAAAATACTTAGTCTTAAGGAACTAGCTGAAGCAATCTTGGAACTGTTAGCAATGATCTTCGAGAACTCATGGAGGACACATGAGGTCTCGGAGGACTGGAGAAGGGCAAACACAGTAGTTAACTTTCAAAGGGGAACAAGGAGGACCTGCTGAATTATAGACCAGGCAGCCTAACAACTGGAAAGATACTAGAATAAATTATTAAACAATCGATCTGTAAGCACCTAGAGTAGAACAGGATTATAAGGAATAGCCAGCACAAATTTGTCAAGAACAAACCATACCAAACCAACCTAATTTCCTTCAACAGAGTTACTGGCCTGGTAAATAGGGGAGAAGCAGTAGACATGATAAACACTGATTTTAGGAAGACTTTTGACATAGTCCTACATGACATTCTCATAACCAAACTTTGGAAGTTTGTGCTAGATGAAATTACTTTAAGTTGCATATACAACTGGTTGAAAGACCATACTGAAATAGTAGTTATCAAGGGTTTGCTGTCAAACTGGGAGGGCATATCTAGTGGAGTTCCACAGGGATCAGTCCTGGATCCAGTACTATTCAATATTTTCATTAAATGACTTGGACAGTGGAGTGGAGAATATGCTTTCAAAATGTGCAGATAACACTAAAATGGGAGAGGCTGCATACACTTTGGAAGACAGGATTAGAATTCAAAATGACAAATTGGAGAATTGGTCTGAATTCTCCAAGATAAATGCAAAATACTTCACTTAGGAAAGAAAAATGAAATGCACAACTACAAAATGGGGAATAACTGGCTAGGTGGTAGTACTGTTGAAAAGGATCTGGGGATTATAGGGGATCACAAATTGAACATAAGTCAACAATGTGATGCAGTTGCAAAAAAGGCTAATATTCTGGGGTGTATTAACAGGAGTGTTGTATGTAACAGATGGGAGGTAATCGTCCCACTTCTTTTGGCACTGGTGAAGCCTTGGCTGGAGTTCTGTGTCCAATTCTGGGTGCCACTGTGACGGTGCTCCTCATAAGGCTTTATGGAAATATGCTTATGAATATACATGACATAACTGGAATATGTTCTACGCTACGTATGACATGTAACATATCTATGTAAAGGTCATGATCTACTGAATCTATTAATCCTATTTGCATGCATGTATCATTTTTGTATTTGAAGTTATGAATATTGGCCATGTACTGGCTTGATTTCTAAATAACCTTAGTAGAGCATTTGGTCAGTTCCTGGAGAAAGGAATTCACAAAGTTAAATGCCCAGTCAAGCAGCACTTAAAGAGCAATGCATCTTGGAAGGCTCCAATCCACATAAGAAGTCTTCCTGGAGACAGTCCAGATGCCAGGTGGGCAATGGCTGCTGCCTGTAAAAACTATGAGTCATGCGTGGACATGTGACTGGCCCAGGTGACTCCAGAACTCCATCTTGGAGCTGGACTTTGCATAGGAGAGAGGAGCGGGTCTCCACCCACAAGAAAAAGTCTATTTAAGCCTGTGGGAGACCCCTCCATTTTGTCTTCAGCTGGCTAAGGAGATAGCCTCTTCACCCCCAAGAAGACCTGAAAGAAACTAGAACAAAACACAGTAACTACAGGGGGTGTGAGTGATTGCTGGACCTGGACTAAAAGGAGATTAGTCTGTAAAAGGAATCTTACTGGAACTGGGAGGTTTTGTCTGTATTCAATTTTATTAGACACAGACTTGCGGGTTTTATTTTATTTTGCTTGGTAATTCACTTTGTTCTGACTGTTACTACTTGGAACCACTTAAATCCTACTTTCTGTTTAGTAAAATCATTTTTTACTTATTAATTAACCCAGATTTTGTATTAATACTTGGGGGGAGGCGGGCGGGCGCAAACAGCTGTGCATCTCTCTCTATCAGTGTTATAGAGGGCGAACAATTTATGAGTTTACCCTGTATAAACTTTATACAGGGTAAAATGGATTTATTTGGGGTTTGGACCCCATTGGGAGTTGGGCATCTGAGTGTCAAGGACAGGAACATTTCTGTAAGCAGCTTTCAATTGAGCCTACAGCTGTTAGGGGACATAGTTCAGACCTGGGTCTGGGTTTGCAGCAGGCTGGCGGGCCTGGCTCAAACCAGGCAGGATACTGAAGTCCTAAGCTGACTGGGCAGGAAAGCAGGGGCAGAAGTTGTCTTGGCACATCAGGTGGCAACTCCTAGGCAGTTTCTGTGATCC